TTGTCGAGTATTGAAACCGGGTACTCGACTTTTTCCCGTAAATAGCTTTGTTCACAGGACTCATTGGACTCAAGTCTCTGTTACCAACAAATTTACTGCAACATGCATAATTTGTGCATGTTAACGTTTTAATTATGTGTCCTATTCAAAATCTATCTATCTATATCTATCTATCTATCTATCTAATCTAATCTAATTAAACTATATTTAAATGCGAGTGACAGCCATCTCCCATGTTTAAGCATAATAATTTTGCATGTTTAACGGAATTTTTTTTTCATGTTAAAGCTATATCAAATATTGCTATGCTTAAGAAAAATTTTCAATTAGTTTTCAGCAAGGTCATTATTTTTAGGTAATTTTTTGCGAGGCCAAATTAAGTCTGTATGTCTGTATACCTGCTTTTTTAATTAATTTGATAATGTCTCTACCCGTCTCCTAATTTTTAAACTACTTTCATCTATCTATTATATATTTGAATGCGGGCTTCACTATCTCGCCATGTTTAGGCTTTTTCAATGTATTTTTTTTTGCATGGTTAACAAAAGTATTTTTTTCACGTTTAAGCTATATCGTATATTGTTATGGTTAAGTTTTTTTTCGTTTTAATAGTTTAAATTCAGTGTTTGACCAAGTTTGAAATTAGCAACCTAATAGTGCGATGTTTTCAGAGTTTTACCAGGTTTTGCGCTTCTGGCCTCCATATACGAATAACCAAATCCTTTTAGCTTAATATAAAGCAAATCCGATCACCCATCTGGCGGTAAAAACTGCTTGAGACGGCAAAGGCCGGGCCGGCCGGTCCTTTTTTCCAAACTAGAATGCTTTTTCGGACTATCTTCCGTCTATTTATTTTTGTCAGCTTAGTTCCCATAGCTCGAGTGACCGGACTCTGACTGGAGCAACCTTAGAAATGGAAATACTCAGCCAATGTGGAGAGAGCAAAATGAAAGACTTCAAGCCATCTCCCATGAATCATGGAAAGGGAAGTGTCGCGGGACAACTAACACCAGTGGAATATAACCGAATAACAGTGTCGGAGACTGTGTCGATAGAGGAACCCACCGGTGGATACATGGAGATATTAGACCGACATGATGGGACTGACTCGCGAAGAGTATGATTCAGAAGAAAGGAAGAGGTCGAAAGAAGAGAAGGTTTTCCTTATGCCGAACCTGAGGGATCTGATAGTCCAGGAGGGAGCAGCAGTAGCGTGTGCGAAGCGGAGAGACGCTCTCTGTTTCATTCGATTCCTGATAGAGCAGATTTCAGTAACTGCATTAAACACCTGTGTTAAAATGTTGAGGGAAGGCGATGAGCGAGCGAAAGCCTTATTCTTGCTAGCACTGCTGGATATGCTGCTAGCACTGCTGGATATGCAGCAAAGTAAACCGATGAGGGTGAACATGAAAGAACCCGAGGAATTGGAACCCATGAAAAAGATAGATGAAATCAGGAGATTCTCGAACAAGGAGCTGAGACTCACTAAAGAATCTATGGGGGCATTGCCGAAATCCAAAGAATACTGTGGACCGATCAAGAAGAAATCGTATAGCTACGTATCCGGGATCATAGGGATAGCGTACAATCCTTTCCTGAGTGAAGACATACGCGATTGCTTCTTCGATTATGAGCAGGCGGTGTTGCTAAGATTCTGGACGTCCAGAATTGTAACGATTAAGAGCGTTAACAATCCACAGGCCAAATTGGGACTGGTCTTGGAAGAAGAGGTGACTGCACCTTCAGTACCAAAATCCGACAAAAGAGTGGAGTTTGGGTTGGGATTCTCAGATGAATTACTGAGAACGAGCTTGATGACAGTGTGGGAATTGATGAGGCCATCATGGTGTCCTAGTCCCAACGCTGACTCAATATTACGGGCGACACAAGACGTACAGAGGGAACTGAATGCAGACTGTAACCTGCGTGACCTCAACATCATATATAATGTGATGATTACGGCCTCTAAGAGCAACGGAGAAGATAAAGTGGAGTTGTCTGGCTGGGGACCAGAAGACTGGGTCAAACCTGGTAGCTGTCTGGCGGAAGTCTGTGGACTGGAGGGTCACGTGTGTGGAGGTCTGGATTGTGTGAAAACCCTAGAGAGACAACACAAGCAATTGACAGTATTGTTTGGGAATGTCGTGATGAAAGCAAGAATGGAAACGGAACTGATCGCAGATTGCCATGGAGGAACCGAGGTGAATCTAGTGACCGCACTAGGATTCTACAGCATGTTTGATTCTTTAGAGTCACTATTGAATCTAGAACAGAAACATGAGATGGTCATAGCCATCAGTGTAGAAGTATTCCCAGGAGTTCTGCAGACAGAACAGAAATACATAGGGAAATGGAGGGAAGCAATCGAGACAGAAATGAACATCAAACACAGCGAGACTTTTTGTAGACCATCAGGAGCACGATATTTGGTGGGTTCAACGTTGGCTCCAATGTGCAAGAGCAGATACCCTGTACATTTCGTAGCTGTGGACGTGAAGAGTACAAGAACGATCGTGGATCAAGCCTTCTCAGTGCCGAAGTGTGTGAGACTGGCGAGAATGTCCGAGACGTCTTACGAGTTGCTATGTAAGATGTTCTCAGCAGTTCCAGAGAGAACCAAAGAAGAATTGGAGTCAATATTAGGAAAGAAGTTCATGGGATATGTGAGCGGGAACTTCAGTGACTTCGAGAGACAGAAACAGAGAGGATCAACTGTCACAGATTACAATGCAGTAGATGAGAATGATGAAGTCCACCGAGTGATGATGGAAGTGGAACCATTGCTGGAAGCTTCGGGAAAACGTAATTGGAGGAGCATCATGTTGACGCATGACGAGTTTCCTTGCCACTGCTTGCTGCAGACCTGGTGGTATCCCAAGCGTAGTAATCTGATGTTGATCTGGGACTCTGGAGAGCTGCTCTCCATGGGTTTACCAGATTCATCACAGCCCATAACAATAGTGATAGTGGGAGTTATGATGGCGATACGATGGCTGGAAGCTCATGTGAGAGAAAATAACAGACAGGAGGCACCGACGAGAGAACAGTTGCGGAAATTAGATTGTCTAAAAGATTTAGATCTTTTTGAGACAATGTGCAAAATTCTAAACATTCCGATGGAAGTGAAGAAGATATGGGCAAGAAAACGATTGATGCCATGGTTCAGAGCTAACATGACTGCATGGTTGTATGAATATGCGAAAAAGCATATGTCGAAGCATGGCAGAGTGTACAGTGAATATCAGCTGGACATTGGAGCAGGAGCTTTAAAGCGAGCTCTCGTGACTCATCGGAATGCGGTGACCACCGCTGTGAAAAAAATTTCCAGGACGAGTGAACGTAGTGGAAAGGAGAAGGCAGAGATGCTGAAAGAAGATTTGGAGAGAAACGTGACGTTGTGTCTCCACAACAGCTTCTGCAGGAACAGAAAATCTAACGTGGATCCGCTACCTTGCTGCAAACAGAGGGTGGAAGAGCAGAAGTGTTGGAGGACGGCTTCCAGCAGCGTCAGGATAGCTAACGACATGTTACAAGATACGGAAACTGAGAGTGCAGAGTCAATATCACAGGAGGAAGAAATGGAGCATTGACGAATGACCGAAAAGCAAGACGAAAAAAGAGACGAAAAAAGAAGAAAACAAAGGAGTGATGAAGAAAAAGTTAAAACTCAGAATTGTTAAAACTCAGAAACCAAGCAACCAAGTTGTAATTGAAAACTGAAACATTTAGATGAGTTTTGAAATTGTTGCATTTATAAATTTGCATTTTGATTTTCGTTGAAGTGGCTTTAGAGACACTCACTTACTATTTATTTAGAAAGGCTTAAGTGAAGGAGTATGTTTAAATATTCCAGCCTGCATGACTGTTTTTAATCAGCTAGGAGAACTGATCACTTTGTGGTGACATGGAAGGCTTGAGTAATCTCTCGAAGAGGGAGATTGTTTCATTGTTTTTTCTAACCACAGAGTTTCTTAGTTTTGATATTCACGACAATAACAAGCAAGATTTCCGAAGGGAAAAGCATAGTAGGATAATTTTAGCTTGTTGGTTGGCAGGACTGTCCTGCAAGCCAACATCTTTTAAATCTAAGAGAAAAAGTTTTAATCGGGACATTGACACTGGAAGTCAGAAAATATGTTTTATCTTAGGTCATATCCTCAATGAGCAGATTAATGAAAGAATTTGAAGGCTATAGTGATGTAGTATGATGCCATTTATATTCTGCAGTGAGTCGATGTGACGTGGATGAAAGTAATTTCGTGCATTTTGTAAATTCTGTTCGATGACACTGTATCTATTTTACCAAAATTGCGTGATTCAATGAGGACATTGACCGGACTGTCCGGGGAGTATATGACATTCGACCAGAATGTGTAAAATACAATCTCTGCAGAATTCGAATTTTTAGCAGCGAGCCTTCCGGATTGGTGATTATTAAGGATTAAGAACGTTATTTGAACGATTGAACAAAACGTGAAGGATGAAGGATTCGGAAATTGCTAATTTTTAAATTTTCGAAGTGATTACGTAACATTTCTGAGAAACGACAGAAACGGCCATTTTGGCGAAAAAGTCGAAGAAAAACACAACAACATTAATTGCGCGGACGATAACTACGAGAATCGTGATCAAAAAAACAACAGCAGATTGCAGGAATAGCAGAGAGCGTTCCTAGTTGCAACTATTGTGTCGCTACAATAGTTGCAAGGCCGTTGCAGACAACGGTGAAGGGTGGAAGACAGACTTCCGGATTACGAAGAAATCAAGATTAACGAGCTTGATTCAGTGGATTCAAGAATCCGGAAGGGTTTCGGAACTGAGACTTTTATCCTTCTATATAAACTTTTAGCTTCTTGTCATGTCCTGATTTGAATTTAATTAACAACTGGATTCATTTTGATAAAGATGAGAAGCTAGGAGTTGGGGGAAAGGGTTGATCCATCTTCGATGGGGATGATGATTTTTATCTGCTGAACAAAAACAATAGTAATATAATAAATAGTAGTAGCCCTGTTTTTAGGAGTGACCTCGTGGTCTGGGGATACTGAGACCCAGCCATGAGCTCACTATTTCTGCATGTAATTAAGTTAATTTGAGTGTTTTGACCGAAGCCGAAAGCAGTAACGTTTTTTTTGTCGACCCGATGTTAGAAAAGACCACCGAAAGTACTGGCTTGGTAGAGACGGTGAAAAGCATGCAAAGCTCTGTTTAGACGTAAGCCAGTCGTTTTAGGACTTAGTTTTGTTTTCCGTCGATATGTATCTTCCGGGCGAATGTTACAGGACTCCTGACTGTATCCTCGGTTACTATGATATATTCGACCTTCTGATTAAAACTTTAAAAAAGTTGCGATTGTGCACATTCACCAAACCGCATTAAAATGCCCAAAATTCACCCGGCTATCTTCACTCTTTGTAATTTGCCAGTTTTATCTTTTCACTACTTGATATGATTAGGGCTTAGATTGAAATTGCAGGAACACAATGGTAGCTTCTAATGCAAAAACTATATCCAAGCGCCAGAAAAGAAGCCTGGAACAGGTGAAAAATTCCGAGAAGTCAAATGCCAAGAAATGCTTGGACAACAGATTTCCTTCCATAGAAGATATAACTCCAAATAAGGCATTACAATTTGCAGATTGCACAATAGGTCTCACAATAAGACATCTTCCAATTTTGCTGAATGTTGGACTACCGGTTGCTCTGCTTTTGATTAGCCTGGGCTCCTCATGGTTCGTGTTTGTGTCTTTTCAACTCTCCCGTTTTAACCACAACTTGGTGTTATATATTTTTGGTTTCAGGATACTTACGATACCCTTTCTCGCTCTCCAAATCGTTGCAATATTTTTATGCCTGGAAGAACCACAAGGGTAAATATGCTTTCTTTCGTTCTGCCTTCAAATGGACGTTTTTTTTTCAAGTTCACAGTGAAACTTTTTATAGCATCAAAAAGATATCAGTGACCTAAGTTAAAAGTTTATGCACCTGCTATGGTTTAGAAAATTGCTAATATAGTATAATAAATACCAGCTAAGTTTCCCTTTTAGCGTAGGCGGTGACCTAATTCGACTCAAGGATCTTTTCAACTTCAATGGAGACAAGCTAATTATTTTCAATATTGCTATACGCGCAGATCTTTTTTGATACTGCATATGGAGGAAAGTTTTCAAAAAATCGAAAATAATCCAAGTTTTTTTTGAATGTTTTGCATATGAGGGAAAAAGTTCAATAAAACAAAAAAAAATCCAGGTTTTTTCTTAAGTTTTTAAACACCAAATCTAGTCAAAATGCATTTAAGGGCATTCTGAACATGAAAGATTTGCCCTGGTACGAGCAATGTTGGCTGATGATTCCAACCGGGAGTTTGGCATCTGGTGTTTTGTTTCCAAGCAAAATCTTTACCACAACGAAGCGTCAGATATGGGAGACTGGTATATTATAGCGACATTTCATTGTTGAACTATAAACTGTCAACACATATTTTCACATTTTGCTTTTAACTAATCGATATTTGTTACACTTATGATAGCAAGTGTATTGAAAGAAAGAAAGAAAGAAAGAATAAATTAAGATAGAAACACATCTATCTTACACGTGATAGAACAAAAGTTTATAGAAAGTTTTTGTTTCTTAAGGCTGTGGCTGGAAAAAGCTTGAAATGTTTTTCTAATTTTTCGTGTGCTGCAACTGCTTTTTCTCTAAGTCTGTTTTCTGCATAAGTTTCTCGTTTTGGCAATTTTGAATGAAGAATATGGTCTTGTTTTGAACTTGACTGTAATAGTTTGTTGTCATGGTTCTCTATGAGCTCGAAAATTGGAGTAAATGTAGAAGTAACACCAAGTTTAAGAGCCCTGCGCTGAACTTTGTCCACATCGGCCAATTCGGTCGAATTGGCACATGCCCATACCGGTAATGCGTAAGTAATTTTACTCTGCACCAAAATTTTGTATAAAATATCAAGGGCAGAGATGTTCATACCAAATGTCTTTAGTCTATACAAAAGGTATTTTGTCGAGTATTGAAACCGGGTACTCGACTTTTTCCCGTAAATAGCTTTGTTCACAGGACTCATTGGACTCAAGTCTCTGTTACCAACAAATTTACTGCAAAAGGTATTTTGTCGAGTATTGAAACCGGGTACTCGACTTTTTCCCGTAAATAGCTTTGTTCACAGGACTCATTGGACTCAAGTCTCTGTTACCAACAAATTTACTGCAACATGCATAATTTGTGCATGTTAACGTTTTAATTATGTGTCCTATTCAAAATCTATCTATCTATATCTATCTATCTATCTATCTAATCTAATCTAATTAAACTATATTTAAATGCGAGTGACAGCCATCTCCCATGTTTAAGCATAATAATTTTGCATGTTTAACGGAATTTTTTTTTCATGTTAAAGCTATATCAAATATTGCTATGCTTAAGAAAAATTTTCAATTAGTTTTCAGCAAGGTCATTATTTTTAGGTAATTTTTTGCGAGGCCAAATTAAGTCTGTATGTCTGTATACCTGCTTTTTTAATTAATTTGATAATGTCTCTACCCGTCTCCTAATTTTTAAACTACTTTCATCTATCTATTATATATTTGAATGCGGGCTTCACTATCTCGCCATGTTTAGGCTTTTTCAATGTATTTTTTTTTGCATGGTTAACAAAAGTATTTTTTTCACGTTTAAGCTATATCGTATATTGTTATGGTTAAGTTTTTTTTCGTTTTAATAGTTTAAATTCAGTGTTTGACCAAGTTTGAAATTAGCAACCTAATAGTGCGATGTTTTCAGAGTTTTACCAGGTTTTGCGCTTCTGGCCTCCATATACGAATAACCAAATCCTTTTAGCTTAATATAAAGCAAATCCGATCACCCATCTGGCGGTAAAAACTGCTTGAGACGGCAAAGGCCGGGCCGGCCGGTCCTTTTTTCCAAACTAGAATGCTTTTTCGGACTATCTTCCGTCTATTTATTTTTGTCAGCTTAGTTCCCATAGCTCGATGGTTAAGCTTTATTCCAAGTTGCTGTAACCCCCATGCTTGAGACGACAAATCCCGGGAGTTCTAGTCCCGTTTGAATTTGAAAAAAGAGAATTTTGGCTAATTAGATTATTGTCTGTCTGCTTATTTTTGTCGGCTTAGTTCCAAAGAAATGACTTTTTTTGAACACTGGGCTTCTGTATAGCTTTCTCAAAGCTCTTTATAGAGTTTCTAATGGTGTAAGCAATTTTGTTCGGGATATTTTGGGATTTGGTTGCAATTTTTTGTGACAAATGAGTCACGATTTTTTGAATTTTTTCTCGTTTGATTTTAATCATAATCATTCATAAATCTATCGCAAGTGGTCCAAAGCTCAGCTTCGCCTGTGTTGATTTTATTTTCATTTCTTCCCCTTTTTTCTTCGGCTTGATAGTTTTCGCCCTGTAATTATATTGACTCGGTGAGCTCAAAAATTGACGAGCGAAAAATGTTTTTTTTTTTTTTTAAATTGAGTTTGTGTTTCGAAGGTGAGGGGGATTTAGTTATTTTTTTTTTTGCAAATTTAAGTTTTTTTGAATTGTTTTTCGTTTGTTTTGTGTTTTTTTTTTAATTTTCCTCAGGCTTGATAGGTTTCGGTCTATATTTTATCAGCTTAATGGCCTAATATTGCGTCGTTTGACGAGCCAAAAAAGTTTTAGTGAGTGTGTTTTGATGGGAGAGGGACTTGAAAATTTTTTGGCTTGAAGAGTTTCTGCTACGGTATTTTTGGCTTGTTTTCACCGCTTGGTAAGTTTTCTTCTGATTGTAACTTCTCATTGTAGTTTCGTGGCTTGTTCCTGTTTTTAAACTAGCTTTTGTCATTTTAATATATATATTTTTTACTTTTTCGAGGTTTTTTTACTTAGTGGGCTTCTTGTTTGTGTCGCAAGTAGCGCGAGTCTACGCTCTGCCTGTTTATAAAATATTTTAAAGTACTTTTTTTGAGAGCACCCACCAAGACCGGTTGCCTGCTGAATTGAGCACAAATTCAAATTGTGGAAAAGCGTTTCAAAGAAAGATTCAAAGCTTTTACAGCATTGTGAGAATTATATTAAAGCCCTTTCAGAGATGACTGGTTCGATATAACAATTCTATAAAGCTCGTTTTTAAATGTGTGCTCTTCTGACAAAATTTTTAGAAGTCGCTGTTAGGTTAGAGTTTTCTTAGCTGTTTTGAGTCAGTTAAATAAAGAGAAGAGTCAACCTTAATTTTGGTTTTCAATTCAAACTATGCTATGCAGTATTTGCATCGATCAAGTTCCAGTACAAACTTGAAAACTTCATTAACAAAAACACATTACCCCGAAATGAATGGAAAAAAGTTTCGCTGTTTTGGGTAATGTGTTTAACTATTTTGGACAAGGTAGAAGACTGTTTAGCTATTTTGGGTAATGTGTTTAACTATTTTGGACAAGGTAGAAGACTTTTCGAAGCTAAACTTATTGCAATTTAAATGGAAAATGCACCTGAAGCAAGAAAAATTACAGAAGAAAGCGGTTGAAGTCAAATCGTCATCATTATCAAGCTCAAGCCTGCTTACTGCACTTGCTAAATTTAGTTTCATTCAATTTTAAAATTTTAGTTCAGATATGTGAAGTCTTGATAGAAATATTTCGGGGTGTAGCAAGTTCATTATTCTTATAATCAGGGGAAGATCTAAGATTTTCTCGAGGGGAGGAGAAGGGGGGGGGGAGGGGTTTGATTTTCAAAAAATTTTGTCCACTTTTTTTAAGGCGACCAAATTGATTTTCTGAATTCTCCCAAAGCACTAAAACGACCCTGTTTTGGTCAAAAGGCGTTTTTAGGCACTTTTTGGGTTTTTTAGAAAAAAATTGGCGTTTTTTTGGCACCCCGACCCTCCCCCCTTCAAAATTAGTATATATTGGCGCCAAAGGCGCCTTTAGAAAAGATTTTTTGGTTCGTCATCCGAAAATGGATGTCTCAAAATAGTACAAAGGGGGACCCTTTGGGTCGACACGGAGTTCCTGAGGGAGAGCGTCCGTCCCCCCTAAATCCGTCCCTGCTTATAATGTCAAATAGACATTAGATTTTTAAATTTTTCTCCAATTTTCAAGCCTATTGTGTGTGTATCGTTCTGGTTTTTCTGCATTGGTCGTTCTGGTTTTTCTGCACGTACAAGCTTCTAAATTTGTCAATAAATTGAAATTCTTGATAAGGAAAACAAAAAATAAATAAAATGAAAAATCTTAATCGGAAAATTGATGTTGATAATTAAGTCATGTAAATAATAAAACAAATTTTGTTTTTGCTAAAAGACAAGGAAATTCAGTTCTCAAATACGCGGAAAGTGATGCCGATTTGCCAATTTTTCTCAAATTAATTAAATTTGTTTAAAAAAGTTTCAAATAAGGCCAAATATTTTTTCTTCGAAACTTTAGTTTTTTTTCAGTCTCCTTTTCCAACTATCTTTTGGCTTTCTTGGTTCTATTCAGTTTGAGGGTTCAATTAACTAAAAAAGAACAGAATTTTGTATTGTGTGCTGCTCACTGAGATTGTTGGTTATCGTTGTAACTTCAACGCATCAAATCTTCTCACGTTTAGTGCGAGTTTGCTGCTGCACGTCATGACTCTCCTTGCGGTATCTCTGTCAGTTTGCCTGTTTGGATCCCTACTTTTGTTAGTATAGCTGGAAATGATCTTCAAATTGGTTTAAATGCAACTGCAAAAACGAGTGGTTTTGAAGTTATCAAGTTGTTTTAGTTTGTCCTGGTACCACATAGTGTTCTATGTAGCCTGTCTGGGATGTTATGTTGGACTCAATGTGTTGCTACACCTGACATTGGACTCTGTGGTCGAAGACGACAAAGAAACAGCAGTTGTTAGTGATTTTTCATCAATGCGCTCTGAATCTCGCGTACGCCTTAATATCAATCATTTTTTGTTTAATTTAAGCTCTGGCTCTGGGCCATGAAATAATCTTGAAATTTGCATAGGTCTTCCGCGATTTATTTTTTTGTCGAAATTTTGAAGTCTTAGTAATAAGGTTTATTGTTTATGTTCAGACATTGGAGGTGGCTCTGATGAAGCTATTTCCTGCTTTCGTGGCTGTGGCCATATGCTGGACATTGTACTCTGCCATCCCTGCACCCCTCTCACATTACTTCGTCACACTCTACCAGTTAGTAAACTATACCATACGGATTCATCATATTAACCTTAACATTTGGTGCCGTAAACAACTGAAAACTTCAAATATTCTGAGCTGATCGATAATACAAAATTATTTTATTTTCCTGGGTATGATTTTTCATTAAATGTCTCTATGTAAAGTAAGCTAATTACAGATTTGTCTTTAGAGTATTGATTGTGGTGCTGTTCTGCTACCCTCACAGGAGCTCCTTCGCCGGACCCATGCACAAAGATGACCTTCTATCTTATGACAGTGAGTCGATTGTAATTTTGAGATAATTCTATTTAGTATTCATGGAAGAAATTAATGTTGACTTCTGAAGGCTGTTTTTATGAAAAATTTAGGACAATTGAGTTTGGTTTTTAGCTTGAAAAGTGGATTTCATTTTTAGGATTTCCCAGCGGAATATAGTCGTGATTTTTTGGCGTCCCTGAGATCCTTTATTACAAACTGACTGTCGGCTATGTTTTCGTCTTTCAAATTGCGACCTGCGCTTGCGCCATACTAATAAAATTGCTAGTCATAAGAACTGAAAATGTTTCGAACATTCCTTTTATTTGGGTGTTTTTTAATGAAACGTAATTTTTTAAACAAAATAATTCAAAATTTTGAAATCATTTCAAAATTTATTTATATCCCTATTAGCAAACGTTGTCGAGTCGGAACAAACACTTTTTTCAGTTAACCATTTAATTAAACGATCAAAGAATCATTGAGCCAACAGACATATCTGGTCAAAATGTAAGTCTGATTTTTAAGTTCCAGTTAAATCGATATTTTTGTTGTAATTCAACTCGCTCAAAATGTCTTAAAATATTAATGCTGCGCATAGACGTTAAAGCCAAACTTACATTGGCTTAGTTGCCTCATATTGCATCATTTGAAGGGCGATAATAGTTTTTCATTCGTTTGTGCGTGCTGCGCTGGATATGTGAAACTTGAAAAATTAAGTGTTTTTTTTTTGATAGCTCAAAATGTTTTATTACCCTTGCGATTAGCAAAATTGTTGCGATCGGGTACTTAAATTTTTCCCGGAATGGGCAATTTTGTAATATTGTCAGTAAATTTCTTTTCTGTCATGCTCTTGAAAAATTAGTTTCGATTGGGTACTTAACTTTTTCCTGGAATGGGCAATTTTGTAATATTGGTAGTTAGTTTCTTTTCTGTCAGTTTCTTGAAAAATTAAGAAAACTTACCATAATTTAAATAGTAATAACATAAAGCTTCTTTCAGGTAGTAATTATTATTTCAAAAAAAAATTCTCTAAAAAGACTTTTTTTTGCCACCAATTTTTTTTCGAAATTCGAAAGTGAATATTTTTTTCAAAAACAAGTCAGTTTTGTTTTCTGTTTACTTGTGAACAAAGTCTCTTTTCCAACTGTCTGTTGGCAATGTTTAGAATAATTGAAAGTTCTGCAAATTGTAAGTCTACCGAGTCTGATTTTGAGTAGTTTTATTTTCCAATTAAAAATTTTCGGATTGTGTTAAAGCGGCTTGGTAAACTTAAGTTGCGTAATTTTGGGAGCAAAATATATCTTACTGAGATTACGTGTTTTAGTACGGATGAGTCATAAAAACGTTCATAGCTCTATAAAAAACATTTATGACAGCAGTTTTGTTTTAGCTCAAGGACTAACTTAATTTTGTCGCCTTCTTTGCCGCTAGCTAAAAGGTTTCCAATGCTTTTTAAAGCTGTTTGGGAACACATACGATGGAAACATAAATTTTTTGTAGTTATAATTTTTTCATTTTTTTCATCTTATTTCTTCGACTTAATTTTTCAGAAAAGGTTTTGACTTCTTTTTTTCAGTCACTGTCACGGTATTTCACTAACGAGCCGCGTAGTGTATTAGTACGAACCTTCTTTTTTTAAAAAGATAACTCGCAAATAATAGTGTTTATTAAAAGTGTTCACTTATTTGGTGGAACTTTTGCTATAATCACAATCTGCAGTATTGGAAAGCTCATAGCATCTGTTCTCAGCTTTTTTGTGGCTAGTGCTTGTGATTAATTAAGCGTCCGTGGCTGATTGGTTAGTTCGTGAGGCTCGTATTCTTTAGTTCGCAGATTGAATCCGAGACGTCGCTGAATTTTTACCAATTCGAGGCTTATTTCTATTTTTTCTTATTGCACATTATAGAACTGCTTTTTGTCGTATTCCCGCTAGTGTTTGTGAAGCGAAGCTTCGCTTCTGTGTGCAATGTTTTTTTGTATCGCTTCACCTGTTTTTTTTTTAAATTTCGAGCTCAACGCGCGTGTTTCCAAGTTTTGTCGGCTTAGCTAGGGGTCATAAACTTTTTCAAATGCTAATTTACTGCTGACAGATGTCTTTCATTTTGTTTTATAATTCTTTTTTTTTGTACTATAACGAGTTCTTTTTTTCGATCCAATTCGCATAAAGTTGTTCATTTCGGTAAACACTTTTGCCAAATAGTATTGGCATTTTAATTGCAGGTGTTACTCGCTACTTGAGTGCTTAGTGTTTTGGTTCTTGAAGCGTCAGCTGTGTAGGGCAGTCCAGTTCGCCTCTGCGTGAAAGTTAGCGTCTTATTTTTTGTGGGCTACCTTGAAATGCTCATTTATATCGACAGCGGTACTCGTTCGTTTTTCTATTTTGTCGGTTTGATTTTTTGATCTGTTTTATAACACGTTTTCCAAATCATTTTTAAGGAGAAGCTGGTTTGTACTTTAAGAGGAAATTGGTTTGCAGTATGAGAAATTGGTTTGCATGCAGAAAGGTATTTTTTTTCAGATCGCCTTCGGCCTCCTGGTATTGTAAATGCAATTTTTTTTAGATTTCACTAGCTTGCTTCTGGGTAAGATATCCAGGAGTACGTTAAGCCATGCGATAAGCAAAGGTTTTGGCACCGGTGACTAGACCTTTACCCAGTAATTTTCATAATACGATAAGTTTTTGGGAACGCCACTGCTTAATTGTAAAATTTTCTGCTAGACTCGGTGATTGTGTCCGTGAGTGAAGCTTTTGTGGCAGTGGCATGTGTCTTGCTCTCTCCCCTCCTTCTCGCTGCCCTCTCCAGCTCCAAAATAGAAACATCAGCTGAACATGCACTGGTAAGTTGTATAGATTATATCACGCTATCGCGAATTATTTCTGATAGGGCTTCATAGAAATAAAATAGTGAGCTCTCTTTACTTGCTCATCATAGCTTAGCAAGTAAAGAGACGTCGTTTTCCTGTCGAAAGGTTTTCTTAACTTCTTGGGAAATTTTCACTGCAGTTCGGATCACTAGTAAATGGGCTTAAGTATGATATATCACTGGAATTTGTTACGACTTGTTATTGCGCTACCTAATTTTGTATTGGAAAAAATTTCAACTGAATACAGTTCTCTCCCATTTCGTGGTGGGAGCAGCAAGACATTCTTTAATGTTTTGGCTGCCTAGATGTATGGTATTCGCATCACATCGAATCCTTGATAGGGTAATGGTCACTTTATGAGGTACAACATTTGAGTAAAAGAATGACCACATTAGGTCTGTTTTTGACGCGAATCAAGTCGAATTATGCATCACGATCACAGTTTTTTGTGGAAGTTGGCATAGAAAAGGTACGCTCTGATAATCTATGACCGTTGTTTAGCTACATGTGCTGTGTTGCGAGGCAATAGCTGTGATGCTCTTAGCCTGGAGTCCTTTGAGCGAGTTATTGGTGTTCGCCCAGCTACAATTGGACAGGAAACGTCTGGAGTGGAGAACGAGAGTGCTTGGGCTACTCATGTGTACTGTGGCTACAGTTTCAGTCCTGTTCCTAGCCGATTCCTCAGACAACTCGATGCTGATGAGTCAGCTGCTCCTTTCTCTAGTCTCAACGATATCTCTAGCATATCTCACTCTTACCTCACAGCATCAGGTATCGAATTGACTTAGGCTAGGTTCTTCATGAACACTGGGTTATGTTCCTGTTTGATTAAAACAGGTATTATGAAAATGTATGGGATTGGGTTTTTATTATTTTTGAGACGCTTTGGAAAATTTTTCATTTTTCAAAAATGAGTTCTCAAAAAATACTCTACCGATTTTCAAAAAAATGGTACCAATGGAAATTCCGCCCACTCCTCTGTGTGCCTCCATAATCCACTAGTCTAATTTTTCCTTGTCCCACTTTCTACAGCTTTCGAAAAAGTGTGTGTGGTGAATTTTTGACCCAAATTCGTAGATTTTTTTTTTACAAAAAGTGCCTTCCCAAATCTGAGATTTTGGGTTCAATGGAAAGAACAGGTTGTGGGAAGCTGCCTTGCATAAGAGGCTACGCCCAATTTTTTTTACACAAAAAGTTATGGACCTCAGAAAAGTCAAAGATTAATTTTAAAAAAATCTGACTTTTCTCAAAAACTACCCTCCCTAATCTGAGATTTTAGTTTCAATCGAAGGGAAAGGTTGTGAAAAGCTGCCCTGCATAAGCGGTTAAGCCGAATTTTTTTAACACAAAAAATGACGCTCAGAAAAGTCGATTTTTTGACAGTTTTTTGAAACTTCTTGACTTTTCTCAAAAACTACCCTCCCGAATCTGAGATATTGGTTTCAGTGTGAAGAACGGGCTGTGGAGAGCTCAATGCATTAGCGGTTACGCACAATTTTTTCACACAAAAAGTTATGACCCTCAGAGTAGTCAATTTTTCTATTTTTTTAACGTTTTTGAAACTTCTCTCGAAAATTCCCACCCAAATCTAATGAGCAACATTTTGAGCATCTTTCAACCTAACAAGCTCTTGTAATCATTTCAATTTTTTAAAAGGAAACTGAAATAGTTGATGAAATTAACAGGTTTTGAAATCATTCAATTGGGACTTTTTCTTTGCTATAGGACTGTTTTTGAAATTACCCTTGTCCTTCCGCATCAATACAAAAATTCTCAAAAATTATCAAACAGGTATTTCCAGCTTTAGCTGACCTCTAGTCTAAAAGAGATAGTTAACCTCTTCAGAGTTGTACATCCCATCAGGCGGGAATTGGTTGATGAAGATAATGTTGAAAGATATTTTCAGTAAGGGGGACTAACGAAGAGAAAGGACAAAATTCATAAGGAATTCCAATTTCGAAGCTGATAAAATTTATGGAGGAATGCTTCACGCCAGAACATTTTGAAGGATTCCGAAAAAATATCAGTCTGTTTTTCAAGGGCGTTAACTGGTTGAGAATTTTTGCACATTTGATCCTTCTGTCATAAGAATAGCCCTCAAAGTTCATGCGTGATATATATAAAAAACCGCATAGGCATAGCCAAGGGTTATTTAAAAGCGATTATTACACCTCGAGCTTTAGGGAGCGTAGTGTAATAGTACGATTTTTTTCCAACTTAAGACGCAATTTTTTTGGTTTTATTTATAGCATGTGCTTTGACATTCTATTATTAATAAATTAACGAAGTTGTTACATTTTTAAGAGTCGATGAACGTGTTCAGACTCTTTATAGGTCGCGATGATTTTTTTGTTCTATTTTTTCTGGAAAAATTTTAAAATTTGGGAAAGTGTGATTGAGGGGTTCCAAAAAACTAACGGGGTCCCGTAATGTAAATAAAGTGCCTCAAAACTTTTCACTTTATTGCTTCGGTAATTTCAACTTAATTTTAAAATAAGTTAGCTCAAATAAAGCAGGTGAATTACGCTTCAGAAAAATTTTTGAAACGGCCGACCGGAGCATGTTGATTAAGTTATTTAATGTATTTGCTTAAAATTAGTGTCATTTGGGACACCTTTCTCACACCTCCCACTTGGTTTTCAGCGGGACCCCTCTATCACACTTCCACCAAAATTTGTTAGGGCTCAAATTTATTTTTTCACGGTTTGTTTTCCATTTCTTTTTAAGTTCAGTTCATTTCCTTTGTTAAAAGGAAGGCAAACTCCACAATCCAGCAGCAAAAGTGTAAAGGTGACGGAAAACGTGATCGACTTCTAGTTTTGAAAGTGGAATTTAATTTTCAAATTTCAAAGCGAAATAAAAGTTTTAAATATTGATCTCAAATTGGTCAATTTTATCAAAATCTTTTTTTTTCAAATTGAGTCAGCTTTATTATACTCAATTGGCAATCATACATTGTTCTAGAAATTTAAAGCTCTTTAAGGGCATTTTTCAACAAAATAAGTCAGTCTTTTTTCTATTTTCTTGCGTTCATTTACTCTTTTCCAATTTTCTGTTGGCTATGTTTAATTCATCAAATGAACCGAAAAAATCTATTTGTTTCAAACATTACAATAAAAAAACTCGATTTTAGAAATTTTCCATTTCATTCTATCTCACAATTTTTTTTTGAAATGCATAATTTATACATAATTTGACCTTATACTTTCCAAATTTTTTCATGCAAAGATAGTGTGGATGCCTTTAGTTTGTTATATTCCAAATTTTTATATGCAAAATTGTGACTGTTTTTATTTGGTGCTAGTTTTGCTGCATTGCACTGGCAATTTATTAGCACGTGTAGCTGCTTTATTGATGGCCAGTAGTAGTGAATTGTCAAGAACCCGTGACGTAGATGCGAGGACAGGGGACTTAAATCTCCTGGTCGTAGGATCGATTCGGCGAAAGCTGTCATTTTTTTCATTGATAGGTAACACTGATGTAGATTTACAAGCTGCTTATGAACTGGTTGATATTTGTTTAGAGAGTTGTGGTGGGCGTTTCGCTGTTTTGTACGGTGGCTTCTTTATGTCAACTGCTAGCTGTGGAAATCAACTACGATAGGTAAGGGTGCATTTAGCAGTTTATTAATCAAGTACAACATTTGCTAGGATGAGAGTGTTGTATGTAACCGATGAAATTTTATCGAATGTAATTATAATAATCTTATTGTATATTGAGTGAGTGTATGTTTAGTGTGACTGAGTCTCCAGTGCAGTCTGTGCACCAAGTGTGTCTCTCCGCTCTCTCCCTCCTCCTCTTCATCGCCATCTGTGCAAGCAACACCAGACCAAACCACAAGTAAGTAACTCCTCAATTTTAGCAAGCTTTTTGTATCTGCAAAAGAACTCGCAAACCACTAGTATTGGAAAAGAATTGGTGTATTTTTACTTATTCCTCTCAATTTTCTTAATTTTGCAATTTTGTAATACTCAATGTATAAATACAGAGAACTAAACACTGGTCGACCTGATTCGTTTGGTGAATACAAATGCGATCTTTTTAATTTTTAGCCGAATTTTGATTTTAAAAATGACATTTGTTTCATGTAGCTTTTTTCTGGTCTCGATAAAACTCTGCGGGTTATTTAAAACAAACATGAATTGTTTTTCAAATAATTAATATTTTTGGTTAAATTAGCTTATTTATTAGTCGACTTGAAATGTGAACAAAACATTTTGAATTGGTGCTGAAATTTGATTTGTTAATTCTAGCCAATCAAATTGAAGCTTATTTGCTTATCTTATTTCACTTTGTTGAAATATTGATTTTTGGGTGGAATAGGTGAAAAGACCCAAGAATTGTATTATTGAATGAAAAAGCCAGGCCTCGGAAGAAAAGACGGATAGGAAATGGTTAAATGACAGTGGCCCTAAAATGTTCGGTGTTGTTGGTAAGATTTTGAGAAAGATTTTGGTGCTTTTGGCTGGATTTTTTCTTTGTTAAGTTATTTTCTTTGTGAAAAGGAAGGCAAACTCCACTATCGAACAGAAAATTCTAGTATCGACAAAGGAATTAAATTTATAGGTTTTCCAGTAGAATGCTAACTACATGTTTATCCAGTTTTTTAAAAATGTGTTAGTTTTATCCAATGATGTCCAGTTAGAAATATAATAGAGTTTTTCAAAAACCACTGGTTAATTGTTATAAACTGTTGATAGAAATTCATCTGCTGAAAGTGACGTAAATAGCTATCTACAAATACGAACGTGCAAATTGCTCAAAAATTCGAGAGCAATTTCTAGTTTCGAAAGTGGAAGTCAGTTTTTAGATTTCCAGCGGATTAAAAACTTTACCTGTTGATCCAGTTTTCTCAAGTTGGGTTAATGTTATCAAAAAAGCGCCAATTATAAATCAAAGAGCTTAAAGGGCATCTATTTTTTTCTTCGAAGATTTTTTCAACAATGTTAGTGTTTTTTTTAGTGCACCCCTTACTCTTTTTTAGTCTTCAATTGGCTATTTTTTGAATATTTTTTGGCCTTTTCAAGCTTTTTGGTAGTTGCTATCTAGCCTATTTCGTTTAGAACAATAATCAAAAATCCAAATTCAAGGATCCTTCTGCGCATTTACTGTAGTGATTGCAACCGTGCTTGAGACCACAAAGTCTGGACATGTTTTTTAAGCAGACTAAAGTTTTTAAGACCATCGTTCGTGTGGTTTTCATGTCGGCTTAGTTCCCACAGAACGACTTTTTTTTTGAAATTCGGCTTTTTTCTTACATTTCGAATACTCTTAGAAGAATTTTTAATGGTGCCTGAAAAAACCTTCGAACGTTTTTGGATTTTTTTTCAGCAATTTTAAAATATTTTTATTTCATATTTTAAATTTGTCGTTTTATTCGTCCGTGATTATAGCTATTCCTTTTTGTATCGCAATTGGGGCGAAGCTCTGCTCTGCTTCTGTGTTCAAAATACACCCCGTTCCCTCGAGAAAACGCTAGAGTATCGATTCCAAAAGTGGTGCCTTTTTTGTTCTTAGATGAAACAGTTCATTCGTTTTTTGGTTTGAGTAATTGATTTGTTTGGCGTTTTAAATGTAGAGTTGCGACCTGTGTGCCAATCGTGGGAGTGGCGCTGGTCTGGGTGCAGTACTGTCACTTCCTTGTCCTCTCAGGCATCATCAACTATCTAGTGGCTCATCTAATTACCCTCACACTAGCTCTGCTCATCAACACGTGAGTCCTTATACACATATCGAGATGTTCGTTTATATCCAAAGAATCTTTCTAGCATCAATATAGAAGGAAATTCACATGTATGTTTTCTGGATAAAATCAATGAAGTTTTTGTTTGGTTGAAAAACTAATTTTTCTGATAGCCATTTTGTTATTACCATATTTAAACTTCCGAGTTTTAGCGAGAGTAGTGTAATATACGACGATTCTTTTTTGCCGTCCTAAGTTTCAAATATTGCATGTCGTAATTTGGAATATAAAAACTGAAAGCATCCACACTAACTTCGCATACAATAAATTGGAAAGCATAAAGCCAAATTATGTAAAAATTATACATTTCAAAAAAATGCGAGAATTAGTGAGCTGGAAAAATTTTTGAAATCGAGTTATGATTATTGTAGTGCTGTTTGAAACAAATTACTTTTTTCGGTTCATTCGATGAATTAAAAAGGCATCAACTGGGTGAATTTTCTTATTAATCGAATTTCAAAGCATATGCTATCAAAAAGCCGTAAAGGGGCAACTAAATCTTTTTTTTAGCTTATACATAATGCTTAGCTTATACATATTTTGGTTTCATGCTTTCTATTTTTTACATGCAAAAGCTAAAGTTTTAATTTTCAAGGCTTATTGTCATCTTTTCTTTTATAATTTCACTTTTTAGAGATGTTTTATTGTCTTTTTCTTGCTAGTGTTTGTAAAATAAAAGAAGCTGGATTGTGCAAACTCTTGATTTTTGCTGACCTGTTTCATATGATTGACCAAATTTTTGCGAGTAATCAATTTGAATTTTGAAATAAAAGAAGTTCACTTGCAGATTGGGTACTAATTTAGATGGATTCTTGCAGGAAAAATTTCAGGCCTTAAATTCTTCGAAAACAATGTTCGCATTTGTTTACTTGTGTTGTTGAAGTTTTCATAAAAATTGCGGGACCAATCTTTCATAGTTGCTGTTTCCTGGGACGCAATTATCATACCTGTACCGCAAATTGTTAAATCATTTTTGAATTTTGATGACCCTGAATCTTGTTGCAGATTGTTCCGGTCTCAGAAAAACTCAGATCACCCGGATTCGCCCTGTCTCTATCTGCCCAGAGTGATCTACGTGCCACTCTTCTGTCTCCTAGTCTCCCTCTGCTTGCATCTGCTCTCCCTGTCGGCAACATCTGCGCTTTCCAGTTCGGAGTCTTCATTACAGCTATTGTGTTTTGGCAAAGTGGCTATGAGTGTACCAAGTTTGTGTCTTCTGCTGTCCCCTGTCCTAATGCCTACACAGTTCTACGTGAGTTCTGACGCCTACACCCTTCTTTGGTCATTTACATCAGCCTTGCTTGTCAACAGAAAATTTCATATAAGGGTTTCCATTTTGTCACGGATATGTTTGTAATGTCCAGAAATTGGGTTAGTGTACTTTTGTTGTTCGTTGACATTAGCTGAGTTTTTTTTTGTATTTATTTTGAAAGATTTGAAACTACGAAAGAGACCATGCTATTTGACATAGACCATGTCCATCGTGTTCTTTAAACCGGGAACTAGAATTTTCCGAATGAACAACTTTTCTTCTAAATCTGTAAAAAAAAAACGTGAAGGCTGACATGCTCAATTTCTTGAAATTCAAGAAAAATGTGATTTTTAGCTCATTATACAATAATTTTTCAAATCAACTTCCGTCGGCTCATTTTCCGTTTTTTTTTTCAAATTTATTTTACCCGTTACACTGTTTTAGCAGATTACTATCCAAAGCCTTGATTGAAATAGTTTTACCAATAATGTTCTGTAATTTGTAAAATTAGCAGAAATTTTTGATTTTTTTATTCTCACTCTGTCGACTCATGTTTATCTCAATCTGTCACCTTATGCTTCATAGGTTTGAAGTCAGAATGTTTTGTGTGTGTTTCAATAGGTTTTCTTTTGTGTGTCCGGAATGATGAGTTTCTATAGCAACAGTTTTGTTATTGCCTCAGTTGCCGCTCGGTAAATGATTTTCAATGCTTTTAAGGCTGTTTGTGAATATCATTTGAGACAAAGGAATGTTTTTTTTGTTCAATTTTTCCGAGTAAATAGTTTTCGACTACGCCTTTTTCTAAACACTATCTTGTAATATAATGTTTTTGTTGCGAAATTCCGCTTTGCTTCTGTATTACAGAATTCATCTGGACAATTGCTCGAGAAATTGTGTACCAACGCGGTATAATTCTGAGGTATCAGGTTTTACGTTTCCGAGATTCCATTTCAATTGTTTTCCTTTTCAGGCATCCGTATCTTCAATAGTGGGTGAGTATTCGGGCTCATTTGGATGGAAGGAATTGGCTGTGACGCTAGCTTCTCTGGCTGTTCATGTCTGTCTCGGAGGAACAACAGTAGCATCTGCAGTATATTCATTTCTAACTGGCTACCAGCCTCCTTCACATGAGGCAACCTTAGGTACCTTGAAGTTAAAGACAATTTTTGGTGCCTAATGAACAAATTTTTCTATTTTGCTGGCACTACTTGAAGCGAGTCATGAGTTTGAAGTGTTTTGGTTTCTTTAGGGTTGTTGTTGATTTTGTGCACCGTAAGTGTGTGTCAAATGTGGAGCCCCATTGCGACCAGCAGCCCATTGTCCCCTTCTCACTTGAACAATGGACTATCATTTGGTCTAGTTCTCCTTCTTAGTGGATGTGGTATCCTTTTTTCTGTCTTACAACCAGCCAACATCATCGCTACTCAACTTATCACGTGAGAACATTGAACCTAATTTTTGTTATGTATCAGATTCTTTTCAAAGGCCAAATAAAATCATTCGGAATTGATTTTGAGACTGTATGCTGGACATGGGTCTCCCTAGAATGAAATATGCAGGACAAAATCCCTCATAGGATGAAGTTCCACCTCAAAGACAAAATCCTTCATATTTTAATTCATCGTGGAAATCTAATTGTATACATCGTATGCACTATGATTTGAACTTTTCTATCGAATCCATTTTGAATGGACTTCCATTTCAACATGCAACGCCATTTTGACATGACTTTTCAACGAGATTCCAACTTTCATTTGACTTTCTATAAGATTGAGCTGTAATTGCAAAAACTGACAAGCACGTGAAACAGTCAGGAAGACAAATGAATGGGAAATAATGATGTCTTCAGCGTGAGCTTGAATCCCAAATATGATATTTTGGTAATCGATAGAAACTTCTGTTGAATTAACTTCCCACAGGACAAAAATCATGCGCTTCCACTAAGACGGGCTGCTTGATGGGATGGAAGGAAGTCCCCGATTCATAGAACACCATCCTCTCCATTGTGCCAAAATTTCGTACCTCGGAATGGGGGATTTTATCCGGAGAGATTTTGCCCTGGTGGACTTAGTCAGCTTTCGGCGGACATGTTGCAATTTAAATATTCGGTCGATAACTCGAGCCCGCATATTTGATTAGGAGTCGATGAACGTAGTTCTGACATTTATATAGGTCCTGATAATTTTTTTGTTTTTCATGAATTTGTTCAAGCTGAAATGTACTTTTTCGCGGTTTGAGTTTTGATTTCTTTTCTAATTCTGTTCATTTCTTTTGTTAAAAAGGAGGGAAAACTCCACTATCGAACAACTAAGGAGTAAATGTCACGAAAAATGTGATTGACTTTATACTTCGAAAATGGAATTCAATTATCATATTTCTCAGCGAAATGAAAATTTTACTTTTTGATACAGCGCCCTCAAATTGGGTTGCTTTTATCAAAAAAAGAGCAAATCATAAATTTTTCTAGAAATTCAAAGAGCTTTAAGGCCATCTTTTCAAAAAAATCATAAATTGAGTTTTTTTTTTTAAAAAAAAACAAGTCAGTATTTTTTTGTTTACCTGCGTTTACTGACTTTTTTCCTATTGTCTGTTGGCTATCTATTATCATTTCAGTTGGCTATGAATTAAAATTTGCTAAAACAACACGAATATAAAGCTGCATCGCACAGATAAAATTGGCTATACTTTCACTATTACTTTTTAAACTAAACTTTTGTTGTTCTATCTAGACTGCGATTCTGTCTGTGTGGAACTCTGCTGTTCTGTGCAATACTCAGTATCTGCTTCATCCTCTCCTCCTCGCAGTTGATGACAACCCGTGGAGTCCTCCTGCCATCTCTCCTCTCAGGAACCCTCTTCGGACTCCTATTTCCTTTGGCACTCCTAATACCTCACATGGATACAGTCTCCTCGTTTTCTTTCCTGCCTCAGATGTACTTGGCGGTTGATGCTCTTCTTTACGTGGTGATCTGTACTTGCAGTGCTTATGTGTCGTATACTGTATTGTTCATGAGCACTGTCAATGACCGAACCACTCCGCCCAATCACACCAATAAGACATTCAATTCCATGTTAGTCACCGTTTGTCAGCTCGGTCAAGCTCCACGAATGTTTTGGCTCGTAATTTAAATAAGTCGAAGCTTTATGCCAGTTTTGGCCTCGTGGTGCCAAAAACAAATTTAATCCTAATAATATCCAGATTTCATGCTGTTTTTGCTCCGTTTAATGATAATTATTATACTCAGTAGAGCTACTGCGAACTGAAGTTCTGAATTTTTCCTCTGAAGGCCCTTTGAAATTTCTTGTCTATTACAGAATGGTTGGCACTGCGTTTCTGTTGGCAATGTGTCTGATTTTGGAGTGGAGTCTGTCTCTTAATTTGACCCAGTCTGTTTACCAAACATGGATTCCTATTTCGGTTCCACCCGTTGCCCTCGTTTCTTTCATCAATCTTGGAACAACTGCATTGTCAATCAAAGTCTACCAACACAACCTAGCTGTAAGTCTTTGAAAATCTCATCTTTTATGACGTTATGCTCATTTTTAATTTGAATACTTGCCACTTACTCTCAAGGAGTTTTCTGAATGTAACGAAGAATTTGATAGTAGAAGGCCCGATAGATCAAAATATCGCATCACGAGTTCAGATTTTTTGCAAGTCGGTGCAATATATTTGAGATTGCAATCTGAAGTCGAGTTTTTGATAAATTCGAAGATACTTCTTATTTGTTGTTACTATTTTTGAAGAATCCGAAGTACCAGAAAATTTGTACTGTTAATAGAAATGGACTATCCTCGACAGGGCTGTTAAGGCCTACTGATAGCTCCTCTGCGATTCGCAGGAACTACAATTCTTAAATTACAATCATAGATGAAGTTTCATCGATTTGTGTCATTTTTTGTTCAACAGGCTAGGTACGTGGATGACAAATTGCCAGCTGCCCTGGAGAGAATGGAAGCCATGTACTCTCTACTCGCTGTCCTGTTTGGATTCCTGGTCACTCCAAGGGCACTCGTGGCTTTATGGGTATGTACGAGTTGAAAGTATTGGTAAACTGACTAATGTGTGGCGAGACGATGCTATGTTTGTTTTACTGCTATCGATTTTAATATCGTTGATTGATCAACAGGGTATAATAGTTATTGACCTTAGCTTTAGTAATTTACACCTATTGGATGAATAATGTTTTGGTTGATATAATAGTTTGGATAAAAGTTTCGTTTTCAGGTGCCTGGTGTATTGTTACTAACCTACAGACCAGGAGTGAAACGCTGGCTCAGCAGACAGACTGAGAGCTGCCTACCCTTTGCTAACATGGGTGCATGCTACGCTATAGTGGGGTTTATTGTATCCCTTTTGCAAAATCCAATTCTAAGTCAAACCCAGTCTCCGACCATCCTTCCTCCAACGCCCTCAAGTTGGATGTCTTTTTGCTTCACTACGGAGATACTCCTATTACCCTGCTGCTTTTTGTGTCTGGCTCTGGTTTCTTTTATCCTCCGAAACGGAACTGTGGAACCGTTGCTATCCAGACATGCATCTGTGCACTTCGCGCTCCTAGCCAGCCCCTTGGGACTACTCTTGTCTCTTATCGGATCTTCCCTCTCATCTTCACTTTATGGAGTGCTGGCTTCTGTCCTCACTCTGACTGTCATGTGGGATCATTTGCCATTTTCACAATAGGATGGCAAAACTTATGCTTGTTTGTTCATCCTGCGTCCGACGTAGCATCTATCCCCTCATATACCAACAAATTTCGCACAACTTAGTTTTTTAGTGCTTAAAGCAAAACTGGCGAAAAGACCATTGAAATGGCGAACTTTTGAAGTATACTCAATTTACAATATTTTCAACAGTTGCAATACATGTGTATCGTAGTTAGTTAATTTAATCTGCTGTCGATTGTTTTCTCACGGAATGTCAGGTAATAGAACACATTAAGCTCATTTGACTTGAAGGACCGAAAGACGAGTTACACTAGCAAAATCTTGTAATAATTACACAACCCGAGCGTAGTGTAATACTACATGACTATTTTGTTTTCCACCGTAAGTCGCAAATATTAGCGCGACTTTTGGTGGCTTTTTGTAAACAGGCTGCTTTGGCAGTTTCATAGCATGTGCTTTGAAATTCGATTAGTAATGAATTAAAACAGTTGATGAATTTTAATTCATCAAAAGAACCGAAAAAAGCTATTTTTTCATCCAACAGTACAAAGTTTACATTTTACAGTTGCGAAGCTTTCTTTTTTCAACCTAAGTTGCAAATAAAAGTGCTACTTTTGGTGGCTTTTTTGAATCGGTTGTCTGCGGTAGCTATCGAACAGATCAATTAAAAAACTCCACAATTGACAAAATGGAATTTAATTAGAGTTTTGATTTTTCGCGGTTTGGTTTGTTGTTTTTTAAGTTCAGTGCATATCCATTGTTAAAAGGAAGGCAAACTCTTCTATCGAACAGCAAAAGTGTAAAGGTCCTGAAAAATGAGATCGACTTCTGATTTCAAAAATGGAAATTAATTATCAGTTTTCCCAGCGAAGTAAAAGTTATACGTCTTGAACCCGATTTCTCAAATTGGGTTAATTTTATCAAAAATGTTAATCATAAATTGTTTGAGAAGTTCAAAGAGCTGAGGACCATCTGTTTTCTTGGAAATTCGAAAGTTGAGATTGTATCTTAAGACAAGTCAGTATTTTTCTGTTAACATGCGTTCGTTGACTTTTTTCAAATGTCTGTCAGCTATTTTTATTTAGAATCGATGAACATAGTTCAGACTTTTATATAGGTCGCAATGATTTTTTCTTCCGTTTTTTGAAGGAAAAATCTCAAAATTTATTTTTGCTTTTTTTAAGTTTAGTTCTATTTCTTTGTTAAAAGGAAGTTAAACTCCACTATCGAACAGCGACAGTGTAAAAGTCACAAAAAATCGAAAAGCGTGATTGACATCTAATTTGAAGAATGGATTTTGTTTATGAGATTTCCCAGCGAAATAAAAATTTCTCAAATTGGGTTAATTTCATCAAAAAATGCAATGCAATAATTTTTCTAAAAATTCAGAGCTTTCAGGCCATTGTGTTCTCCGAAACTCGAATATTTTTTTTCAGAAAACAAAGTTATTTGGGCTATGTTAAGCAAATGTAGCTGTTTGATTGGTGGCTACAGTTTGCAACCTTTCAAGGGCCTGCAGCGATGATGTCAGATTTTTTTGCGTGTGATTGCGAAGCGCAGCCACGCTTTTGTGTTGGAAACCAAATATGGTTTTCTGAAATATTTTTCCTTTCTCTGTGGATGATGAATTTCGCTGAGCTCAGGTTAATTAGTAGTCTTTTATTATGAATCTCTTTTTTTTAAGAGTCAATGAGCTTTATGAAGACTCCTATGAAAGGGCTTGATAATTTTTTTCAGGAAACAGCCTCAGATTTTGTTACGTCAGTTTGATTTTTCGAGGATTGACTTCTGATTTTTTCAAGTTCAATCAATCAAGCAAGAGAGGACATATTTGAAATTCGGATACTGATTTTTTGCTCACGAAACAAGTCTTTTTTCTGTTTCGTTGCATTTATTGACTTTCCTTGAACTGTCTGTGGGCTATGTTTTTTTAAACCAACACTCAAATAAAATTACTTATTTAGTGGCATAGCTTAGGCCAAATAATAGCTGTTCTATTTGCTTTGTTGGTGGCTTACTGACAAGTAGTGGCTTACGTTCGCTTACGTAGTGGCTTACGTTCGCTTACGTAGTGGCTTACGTTCGCTTACTGACTAGGAACGTGCGGAAGATAAGAAAAGCTGAGACTCATAATCTCCAGTTTGGCGATTCTATTCCGGTATAGCAAATCTTATACTTTTCCAGGCTAATTTTTGAATTGTTTTCCATTTGTTTTTAGTTTATCAGTACTACTTTTTGCCAAATTCTTGTTTTTATTTGTGAGTTTTGGCTTCGCCTATTGATTTCGTTTACTTCTAGTTATATAGTGATTTTCCCTTTAATAAATAGTTCTGGGAATATGTTTCTGTGTAGGTAGAATTTTAGTTTATGCAGATTTAGGAGAAGATCGGTAAATCAGAATATCATAGCACATAGTATAATTTTGTGGAAAATGCAGCAGCATTTTTGTGCGAGATGACGTGTAACTGCTTTTTTTGATTATTTTTCTAGCCCCGGCCCTACTTCCACCGTTCAAACTTGGCCTTCCTTCCGTGGGGGGGGGGGGGGGGGGGGGGGGTTGTTAGCATCCATTTTGCAGAAAACGGTCTGGACATGGGGACCGCTGCAAGGATGCTGTAGCGGGATTCAAATCCACGGCCTTTGAGCTAAAGCCCGCGCATCTTAAACTGCGCTAATATACTGCCAAAAATGCTTGCAGTCATTGTGTTAAACAAGGAAACACGCTTTTTTCTTCAGCTCAGCTCTTAAGTGAAAGTGCTTACTTTGGTAGCACTTCTGTTGCATAGACTTGGCAGTTTAAAAGCATGTATTCTGCACTTTACGTGTGGCTGATGTTTCGCTTATGTAAGCTTCAGTGGCACAAGTTTTTAGTGCAGCTGACTTGAGTTTTTGGATGTTCGGTGAGTGGTACGATTACCTTAGAGAACCTCTATGAGTTTTTAAACTTTCCACATCCTTCAGGATTTCCATACTTAAGTATTGAATTCTTGAAGCAGACATGTAGTTTGATCAATGCCACCATTTCATTTAGTTTGATCAATGACTCGAAATTTTTCTATTTCGTTTTTCAAACGCAAGTTTTGAATTCGAAGTTTATATTTCTGTAATTTGTTTGTTCTTAACTACAATGTTCGCCACAAAAAGTTCTTATTTGTTCGTACGTCATGGAAAACGTAATGTACATTTTTCTAATTTTATAACGTCTGCAATTAGCCATCGATAATAGATCGGAATAAAGACTTTTGTCAGGTTAACCACTTGTTTGTCAAAATTGCCCGATCTCTTGAAACACTGGTAGCTGTTACAGTACTTTTAGTAGTTGCTTTAGGACTCTTTATATTGTAGTCTTTTTCGAAATCCTTCGTTTGGCGTTATTTTATCTGCCTGCTAAGATTCTGTCACCATAAATTTTATAAGATAGATAATGAATAATTTCATAGATTTATTCCTGTTATTTGAATAAAAAGAATAGCTCCGATTTTGTATTATTTCCCGTTTTACTATTTTTTTGCTTTATAGGTCTCTTCGACTTAAATTTTGTTGGCAAATTTTATATCGGCATGGACGCCTCATATGGCGTCGTCTAAAGGGAGATAGTTTTTTAAAAGCGGTGTGAGATTTTCGAAGCTTTACAACAATTTTTTGTGGCATGTTTTTTTTTGGCTCAACGGGCGTCTATTTAGTAAATTCGGCTTAATTGCTGGTAGAAACATTATCCTTAAATGCTAATTTTACAATGACACTTGTTCTATAAGTTTTTAAAACAGAATATATTCGTTGAGACTCACAAAAAGATATATATATATATTTAGAGTAATGAACGTAGTGAAGACTTTTATATAGGTCTTGCTAATTATTTTTCAGGAAAAAGTCATTAAATTTATTCACGCTCAATTTTGATTTTTCGCGGTTTGACTTGTGATTTCTTAAGTTGCAGTTCTATTGTTTAAAGGAAGGGAAACTACACTATCGAACAGCAATATTGTAAAGGTGACGAAAAACGTGATCGATTTCTAATTTTGAAAGTGGAAATTAATTATCAGATTTCACAGCGAAATAAAAGTTTTACCTATTGATCCAGTTTTTCAAATTGGGTTAGTTTAACAAAAATGTGTCCATCATAAATTGTTCTACAAATTCAAAGAGTTTTAAGGCCATCTAATTTCTAATCCGAAAGTCAAAAATTGGAGATTTTTGAGAAAACTAGTCGAATTTTTGTTTTAGTTTCCGTGCATTCATTACTCTTTTCCAACTGTCAGTTGGCTATGTTCTATTTAAGTTCACTTTTTTTAATCAAAGAATATTTCGGCTTTATGTCGTTTTATTTGTCGCTATTCCAAATCCGGATCGAAATAATTTTTACTGGAAACATCAAGTATAACCTTTTTACAGGTAAAAAAATGAATTATGAAGCAAAAAAGTGCTAGCGAGCGTAGCTTCAAAAAATCAACATACAGAAAACTTCGCAAGTTGCTTTTTGATTAGTTTTTTTTATAATGCTTCGACAGCACTTAAGACTATTTGGTTTTGCTTGCGCTTCAGTCGAACAGGTTTCGTTGAGTCAAACCACAGAGTCGCGATTTTATGCTCGTTCCAAGCTGAATCTGTTGAATCACTAGCCTTGCAATAATCAAGGGTATTGCAATCGGGTACTAGATTTCTTCCCGTAAATAATTTTTCTTACGTTTTAACTTTTCTTCAATTTCCTTTTTTCTTGGTCCTTCATAAGCTCCAGATTCTTTCTCAGTTGGCTCAGAGTTAATGCCGTCGCCGTTGTACCCTAGGGTCATGGGTTTGACTCTTGACCGGGCCTTGTTTTTTTCAGTATATAATCAATTTTAAAAAGTTCGGTTGAAGTTGAATTGTTGTTTATTCTACTAGAATTTGGTCTGCTTAGTTGCCACATTACAAATCTTGATTGTCCTGTAAGCAACTGTCAATGCAAGTACTTGTTCTTTGTAGCTTCAGGGAGATTGGCTTTTTTTATTTTTTTTAAAAATCATTTGTTTTTCGGTTCAACAGGTGTCTGCTCAAAGATTGTCGGCTTAGTTGCCACACCACTGATTTTTCTTTTCTTTTCTTGTGCTATAGGTAACTTTCTTGGTAGTTGTAAGTGCAAGTGTTGTTCATGTTAGTCTCAGCTAGGACTTGAACCTGTAACTATTGTTTATGAAATGTATTTTTTCTGCTCAACTTGTGTCTGCTCAAAGATTGCCTGCTTTATTTCATCTTCGTAAGTTTTTTCTACATTGCTAATTTAATTTTCAAGTTTCTGGCTTGTTAGCTTAGAACCAGCTTCTATCGAGACATCCCAAAATTTAATTTTTAGTAGAATCAGTTTTTTTCATTGTTTTCCATTTTTTCGACTGATTTTCTTATGTTTGTGTATAATCGCAAGTGGTGCGAAGCTCCGCTTCGCCTCTGTGTTGATTTTATTCTTTTTCCTGAAAACTACCTCTCTAGAGTCTGAGTTTTTGTTTTCAATGAATAGAAAGGTTTTGAAACGCTTCCTGCATAAGAATCTACGCCCAAATTTTTTTTACACAAAGTTAGGACCCTCGGAATGGTCAAATATTTGATTTTTGACTGTTTCGTGAATCTTTGACTTTTCTCGAAATCTAACCTTTCAAATCCGATATTGTGGTTTTAATGTAGATAATGGGTAGTGGGATGCTCAAATCTATTTGGTAGTGGACAACTCACAAAGTTTTTTCATAAAAAGTTATCGCCCCGGAAAAGTCAAATTTATGACCGTTATTTAAACTTTTGAATATTCTCGAAAACTACCCTGCCATATCTGGAGTTTTGGGTTCGATTCAAATAACAGATTGTGGTAAACTTATTTGCTTATGCGTCTACTCCAACTTTTTCTGACACCAAAAGGTATGGCCCTCGGTAAATTCAAAGTTTTGATTTTTTGACTGTTTTTTTTAAAGTGTTTGGCTTTTCTCGAGAACTTCCCTCCTAAATTTGAGATTTCGTGTTCAATCGAAATTACAGATTGCGCAAATCACTTTTGTATCAGCAGCTACGCCCTATTTTTCTTATAAAAAGCTCTGATTCTCGGAAATGTCAAACTCTTGATTAGTTGACCTTTTTTTGGACTTTTCTCGCTAACTATCCGGCAGAGCCTGAAATCATAGATTTCTCTAATCAGGACAACAGGTTGAAAGCCTAACTCCATAATAGGCTAGGTCTTTTTGTTCAATATAAACGTTATGGCCTTCAAACAAATCAAAGTTTTGAAACTTTTGACAGTTTTTTGGATATTTTTTGACTTTAAGCGAAAATTACCGTACCAATTCTCAGTTTGTTCAATCGAGAAACCCAGTTTTGGGAATCTTCTCTGCGTAAGTGGCCACAAACTGCTTTTTAAAGAAAACTTTTGACCGTTTTGTTAGTAACTTTTTGAAATCTCTTAGAAATTGAACAATCAAATCTGAGATAAAACGTTTAATTGAAAGAATCGGTTGCGATAATTGCTCTTGCAGAAGCGGCAACTTCTTAATTTTTTGGAAGAGAAGTTTTATTTCTTTGGGAAAATTGATTATCTCGAAATTTCCTACTCTTTTACTTTTTTTAGTAGAGAAACAACTAAGGATTTGGGCAAAGTCCAATTTTTTGAAATCACATTTTACCCGCATCAGTATGGCAAATTTATTCAATATCAAACACATGGGCACCTAGTTATTTTTTATCGAGACATACGAAATTTTTGGTTCACCTAGTTTGTTTCAAAATTTATTATTTTTTCGACATACGTTTTTTTCAGTGTTTTTGTTCTATCGCAAGTGGTGCGAAGCTCCGCTGCGCCTCTGTGTAAAAAAACTTCTGTCTGGTAATTCGAATCATGGATGCTTCGAATCTAAACTTTTTTAGTCGACTCTAGCTTGGCATATGCTGATGGCTCGCTCTGCCCGAGAAACTACTACCAATGTTACTTTGTTACTCTCAATTTTATGCCATTCAAATATTGTTATTTGAAAGTAGTCATAAAAACATTGATCATTTTCTGCAATAAAATTTTTTACGTACATATTAGCAAACAAAGATTAAATGTACAAAACAGTGCAAGTATTATTCGTTCAGTTATTATAAAATGCAAGCATTATTCGTAAACAAAACATTGAGTATCTTCTTTGATGTACTGTGAGAAAAAACGAGCTCGACCAGGTTTTTTGATAGCTGCTGTTTTAGAAACTTAGAGGTGTTTTTTTTGTTTTCATCTGTTTTCTTAAATTTTTGGCTCTTAGTGCATGCAAGCTCTCACACAACGGAAGAAAAATTCAACCAGTTCAAAAAATATGAGCATACTCCACCCAAGACAAAGTCCAAGATTACCGCCGAAATCTGAAATCAACGAAGAGAAGTCGTACGCCGGAGATTCTGATATTTTCCTGAAATTCAGCGCTTCGTAAAAGATTTCCAGCCTCACAAAGTTTTCCTTGAAGCTTTCTTGCATTGTATTTTCACTGACATTTCTGATGAGAAGGTCTTGCATGTAAGACACAACCCGACTTGAGTCAGATTTAATCAGCTTTGAAGCGAGATAGGGACTGTAGGTTTTCGACGGCCAAGGAGATCTAGATTGAGTGAGGATGTATTCGTTCGTATGACAGGCAGGGAGACAGTCACAGGTGAGGCTGTTGTTTCTCAAACAGCGTAAACGTCGTTGCGACATTCGCTCTCTCTGCGATTCGTGGCTCGACAATAATACAACGAGTTCCTCCTAATCGTTTCATCCGCACTGAAATCAACATCATAAATGTCTGTGCATTCACATTTAGTAGCTAAGGCGTTGGTCAAACAAAATTTCAAACAAGATTCCTGTGTATAAGTTGGCCATGCCTTCTGAGCTTGTTCCGAAAGTTTCAGTGATTTGGGCCACTTCTCGGAACAATCGTTGTATTTGCCGCCTTTTCTTTGAACCTCTTCCAATTTCATAGCTATGAAAGTTGTTTCGCCAGCTGCGACTGAAAAACTCGCAGCTTGTATATCAGGCTGAACTCGAGGGTCGTGCACTAATACCCGAGCTCCAGCATTTGGTGCAAATAGTCCAATGTACTCTGCATAATCAAGGAATAAAGTTAGTTTTAGCCCGAATTCATGACCCGTTTTGCTACTGCTGCGGAATTTATAAGTCGAATTGTCTTCTTGATACCTGAAAAAATGCAACCAATTCCCAAACTCATTAAGTAAATTACTTTTTCAAAATGTTATTTTTATGTCTTTTCAAAGGGTATTTGCAATGGCGGACTTTAAATTTTCGCATGAGGGTATTCGAAGATGTCGTTGCTGACTTTCCGAGCGCTCAAAAATTTAAAAAGTCGCAATTTTGACATTTTTTTTAAATGCCGCATTGAAAAGTTTTGTGGAAAATGAATGTCTTTTCTAGAGGGCGTCTTCACTGTGTTTTGGCTGCGAAGGTGTACAGAAAATTTCGGGCTGATCATTCGAAAATTTCATGTGCTCCCCCTCTCCCCTTAAACCCGCCCCTGGAAAGTGAAGTTTAATTTTAGTTAATCTGGCTAGGGTTGCTGTTCAGATAATTTAAAATTTTAACATAGAACAGAACTGAGTTAATTCATTTAGTCATGTTACCTGATGGAGTTGAAACTGAAACAGTTTCCGTAGTGTGGGTCTTCAAATTGCACGAAATTTGTGCCTTTTTTTCTGCATTCCTTGCCATCATAAGTGCACTGAACTATGAAGTCGTTTTTCTGGCACAAATCAATTCCATTTCAAGCTTTCAAACTCAATTTTTATGAAATAATTATTTTTCAATGTTTTAAACCTGAAAAAACACCTGTGCTCTGAAATTAGCGTTTTATCAATCCACAGTTTATTAGTAAACTATTTTGCTTTTCCATCTATCATGATTTTGAGTCAATTTTGACACTAGCCCTGATTAATAAAAGTATGAAGTTACCACTGGTAATTCTGTTATCTAACTAGGTTTAAAACGGAATAAAATTAATGTGTGAATTAAAACTGACTGTAGTCTAAAAAGAGCAACTTGTGACTCGAAGTCCACTGAACTTCGTAGAGTAGACGTTAGGTGGTACTTGATTAATCAATAAAAGTTAAGGTTAAGAGATACTAAAATACTAAATCACAACATTACCCACTGCACAAAAATTTATATCTGCTCGCTCCCCAATAATATCACACATATACTCCATTCTGCCCTCACTACACCAGGGCCAAAGTTGAAACAAAAAGTAACCGCGTTTAGCACCAATGGAAATTCACAGAGAGTACAATTTACAATGGAGATGATTATATGGTAATATATACAGGCTACCTACCAGATTAAACAGATATTTACAGCGACTGTACAGCTGACGAAATGAAATGTACAATTGGGGTTATATGACATGTCTACAAAAAAAACAAGCTAACCTACATAACTAAGTGATTAAAATGTACAAAATTGCTCAATTTGAGAATTAGTACAGATACGTAAAATGAGTAATCCACTGGAGATAAGTCCGAGAAAAAAAAATAAGTCAGCGTCAGAATTTATGCTAAGTGAGTTTATAAGTTGTCGGAGTTTTAGTATGTGGCGTTAAATCTATCATGGAAAATATCGGCCTCCTTCCTTACATCTGTGTCTATGCATGAGGATATGTCACTGCCGTCATCGTCCTGAATGTCCGTACTGATTTCTATCAATGGAGATGATATTGTCGCGATCTTTGGCGTCAAAGAAGTAGGTGTTTAGGAGGAGCCTTGTGTGGTTTCCGCCACCAGTGTTGGAGGGATTGGAAAATCTTCAATTGGTGTCAGGTAATCCGATGGGGACGCCGAGGGGTAAGTTGTCTGTAGGCTTTTTGAGCCGGAGAATGTTATTAGGGGTTCGTCATCGAAATCTGCTAATTCGTTGGTTTCTGTTCCCATAGTCACCTGGTCAATGAATCGCCTGTCTCCGTAAAATTTAGGGGGCCTGGATTCCTTCTTGACCGTGGATTGTTGCATAACGAGGTTTTGGGCGTCTCCAATGTTTTTTCCGGAGAGCTGTCTATTCTAATTGGGTTATCGCCTGTGCCCGCCGGGGGAGTAATCGTTGTCTGCGTATTGGTTTCACTTGGTAGGGTGCGTCTTGACTGATCTAAATCACTATGAATATTAAAAGTCGGTGTATTATATACAATTTCCGAGTCTGTACCCTATAATCATCGATAACTTTGTCCCAATGGTCTAACTCTAGCGAGGAATCTAAACCAGTAAACGCTAATTTTGAACATTAAGAGCTCGGAGTTTTCGTTCTCCTCCTTTTCATTGCCTTTTCTCCCGTTAGTTTATAGCTCGTCAAGGGAACTCCTTCATTCGAGTCTGGTCTCTTCAATGGAGAGTTTCTCTTTCGTTTCCCTGCTAAATCTTGACTATTATTTAACGAATTCGGTACTGCCGAAAATTTACTGGGGGCCGACGGTTGAATTTTATTAAAAACTAGGTCAGATTTTCTGATCACATGTCCATTGTCTAATGTAACCGTATGTTTCGTATCCGACAATGGTTTTCTTCCAAGTGATTTACAATAGGGTTCGCCTTCCCTTCGGTTAACTGTCTTCCTAAACCAGTTACCTCCTTGGCTGAATGGGTTTGACAGTGGGGCTCGCGGAAGGTTTCTGTCTACTTTGTCCAAAGGGTCGCTCTCATACCCCCTTTTGTCTGTCGCTATCTTTTCCAGATAGCCATCCTCGAATGCGTCGTCTGCTCCCCAGTCTTGCGCTCTATCCTTTGATAGTATTGCCTTCCCTTCATCTAAATAATCGCGTGTGAGACCAGAGATTTTCAAAACGTGTTAGGGGATCTATTAAAATGTTTTGAAAAAGGAGAGCATCCAATGGATGATTGTTTCGTTGATGGAATATTCCAGATGATTTTATCAATAGCCGTATTTAAAGATGGTTTTGGATCGTTAAACGACATTGCCAAGAGTTTTGCTTTAACGGTGTAGATGAGTCGTTCTACGACTCCGTTGGATCTGTGATCCGCGACAGCACATAGGATTAATCTAATGTTGTTCTTCTCGCAGAAGTTTCTAAAATCGTTAGAAGTAAAACATGACCCATGGTCGACTCTAATAGACTTCGGAAATCCGTGAAGGTGACAATAATCTGTCATGAATGCTAAAATCGAAGAAACCGAGGTGTTAATCACTACCTTTGCTGACAAAAATGTTGAGACGCGATCGATGCATAGTAAAAGGTATTTCGAATTGCCCCAACTTTTTGTCCAATGGACCCGCAAAGTCTAAATCTACTTCTTCGTTTGGTTCAGCCAGAATCGGTAATTTTTCCGTATTGTTCGCACCCAATATCGTTTTTAGATTCTTACCGGCCTTGATGCACTGAATGCAATTTTTCCCGTGATAGTAGATCTCTCTGTATAAATGTGGCCACCAAATGTTTTCTGCCAGAGATTTCATTCTGAACTGTCCTGGGTGAGTTGAGTGTAGTAGCGACAGGAATGGCGACCTCAGAGCTGCCGGAACTAACAGTTTTTTATCGTTAAAAAACAATCCTTCTTTAACATGTATGTCCCTTTGAAAATTCTTTAGGTAGCTCCGAATCTATCCAATGGTCTGCCTTCTTCTACCGCCTTCTTCACATCCTTGAGGATTTTGTCCTCGTCCGTCATCAGTCTGATTAGTTTATTCGAGCAATGATCGGTGAGGGATAACGGAGTGTCTGGTAACTTGAGATCTAATTTATATTTGGTCAGTAGTTTCTTGTGGATGTCCGACATTATATCGTTGTTGAAGTTCAGTGAAATTCCTTCATTTCCTGCCCTTAGGGAAATTTTTAGCAAGTTCACCGATGTGAGGAATTCTTCTAACAGCTTTTGTTTTTTCTGAGCTTGTGGACTGATTAACTGATAATAGTGACTGGGCAAGAAAAAATAAGAAGGTTTTATCTGACAAGTAAAAATAATTTAAATCGAATTTCGAAAAATTTAATGGGACACAACCGCTTGTACAGAACTCTGAACGAGAGTGATTGGAATTACAAATTAAAATTGTGTCGTTGACGTAATTCAGAATATTCGAAAAAAACGACCGTTGGATGCTTAGCGCTAATTCTTTCTTTCCGCCCATTGGATTATTACAATCCAAGTTACTAATAGTATTTACATCCACTGGATTATACAATTCGTTCTTTTTACAATTATTCTTTTTACAATCAATTTTTACAGAGAGGTTTTCTACAACCTTTTTAACTGTTGCCACTACAAATTCGCTATTGTAATGTGAGGTTGGGAGGGCTTTTCCTGAAGGTAATCTCGACAGTAGATCTGTAAATCCGATTTCTTTTCCCGGTATGTCGTTGATCTTGAAATTAAATGGTAAAAGTCAATTTACCCAACGGGTTAGTCTGCTGTGCATAGTTTTGTTCTTATGATTGGCTTTTAAGGCTGATAACAATGCCTTATGGTCCGTTACGATTTCAAACTCAGCGCCATACAAGTAATTTTTAAAATTCTCTGTAGCCCAGACTATTCCCAACAATTCCAATTCGTTTGTAGAATATTTCGTTTCGTGGCTATTTAAAAATTGGGAAGCGAATGCTATTGTTAACCAATTATCCCCGTCCCATTTTTCTAAAGTGGCTACCAGGCCGCTATGTGAAGCGTCTGTTTTTAATCTTGACATCCTTTTTATGTCAAAGTGATTGTTCTCTGTAATAGTGTCGATCTGTTTTTTGAGTTCTTCGAACGCCTTCGTGTGATCGTCGTTCCATTGGTAAACTGATTTTTTTTACTAGAAGGGGTCGTAAGGGAGAAAATAGAGTTGACAAGTTCGGTACGAACTTCATATATTGGTTGATTGAGCCGAAGAACGACCTTAGTTCGGATATGTTTTTGGGGTTTGGGAGGCTTTTTATCAAATCTGATTTTCCCACCAATGGTTTCACGCCCGAATTTGATATCTTGAAACCCAACCACTCTATTTCTTTTTTAAAAAAAATGCACATTTGTCCCATTTTACCGCCATTTTTTGTTGTCCAAGATGTTTAAAATTTTTGATAATATCGCTTTCTGTTCATTTAATGATCCTTTCGAAGCTATTAAAATATCGTCGATATAACAATTGGTAAAAGAAATGTCTTTCAATAAAGAATCCATCACCCTCTGCAATTCGTTTGGCATATCGCTTAGTCCGTAAAATCCCGTTAAAAACCTATAGGTCCCGTTGGTTTCACCCCTACAATGCTAAAATTGCACTGTTTGTTAGTGTCTGTACATAGTTGTAGTTGACTGCTCGCATTTTTTAGATCTAAATTACTAAACCAAACTTCCCCTGAAAATTTGCTGGAAAGTTGGAGAGCTATGTTGTCGATACGCTTGTGTATGCTTAGCATTTGATATTTGTTCTTGAATATCTGATTATTTAATAATTTCGAATATAATGCCAACTTGATACTACCATCTTTTTTTTCTTGTTATCACTATTGGACTTATAAAACAGTCTTCATCACATTTGTTTAACTTCACAATATGCCCCTCTTTTTCCATTCTATTTAATTCCATCTTTACATTATCTAGTAAATGTAGGGAACTCTTCTGACTTTGGTTTGATAGGTTTGAATGGAGAGTGCAAATGAGTTATTTTCTGTCCAATGGTATTTTCCCTACTCGGTTAAATAATCCTTCGTACTTATGGTACCGATTGAGAATTGTGTCTGAATGATTGTTTAACTTACACAGCTTGAGGAGTGTTACGTTGCTGACGGGTAGTAGAGGCTGCCGTTGAGCTATTTTGATTCCGATTCGTGGTAAATTATCGTTACCAAAGATATTCCTCTCATGTCCAGAAGTGATAAAAAGTGGAGTTTTGTCCGCGGTCCATCCATTGGATTGTATTCTCACTACAACTTTCCCGATGATGTTGATTGTATCATTGGTAAACCCGCAGTATAGTTCCCTAGTCTTCTTGTCTACTGGGTGTATTTTCAATTGTGGGCTTCTCAACTTCTTTTCGTGCAGAACGTTTTGCTTCAGAAAACTCACTGGGCTCGCAGAATCCACTGGAATGTTCAGATTAACTATCGCATCGTCTCCCAGTCCGATGTTAACTAATTTCTTGGTTTCCAAACCATTGGTGTCATAGATGGTTCTGATGTTAAGAACGGAATAGTTGTCGTTATCGCTGATCCCCTCTTCGGTCCACGCGTTAATCACACCGCAAAAATTTTCTTCACTTCTTGCTTGAAGGTTTTCTGGGGAATATGAACAATTCTGACTATTTACAGGTTCTTCTACAGTATTTACAGCGGGTTTTCTTCCTTTCGATTTACACAGTTTTCCGAAATATCCTTTATATTTACAAAATTACAACTTATTTCCTTTGCCGGACACACATTCAGATGACCCTTGGTAAATGCATTCCCGCATTTCATGCAAGTATTTGATCTTCCTATGTTCAAGCTTGGTTCCTTTTTTTACATTTTTGAAATTTTTATACACTCTGCCTCTACTTCCTGTCGTGTTGAATGATCTAGTCATGCTTGTTAATTTCAGATGGTTTTAGCAGCCTTTTTCGTCGATGATAGCTTGGTTGAGTGTATCCACTGAATTAAAAGTTTCCCAGAGTAGTCTACATTGTAAATCACAATTTTTCATGTTGAAAATAAATACATCTCTGATCCACTCCTGTTCAGCGTTAATTCCAACTTCGCATGATCTTGCTAAGTCTGATAGTGCGCCCCAAAATTTTTTGTAGGATTCTTTATCCTTTTGCTTCCTGCTTAGTAGTTTGTATCCTTCAAACGTTATATTTGTCGGTTTAATAAAAGCAGCTTCTAGCAGTTCGAAAAATTCTTTGAATGAGATTCCTAGGACTTTGACCCTTGGGTATTTTTGAGCAAAAACTCTCTTTCCTTCCGCTCCTAGGGCTAAGTATAAGATTGATCTTACTTTTTTGTCGGAATCATATCTCCTCATTCCTCCGAATTTTCGTTTCTCTTCTGCTAGTCTTTTATCTTCTGCGTGCTCGTAGACTCGCATGGTCTCTTTATTCGTGGCCTCTGTAGCTTTCCTCTGTTGGTCAGTTTCTGACTCCTGGGCGCCTTCCAGATAACGTAGTCTCCCCTTCCAATGGTTCCTTTAGATTGTCTATATCTAGATTTTCCTTCGCAATGATAGCCAGGTGAAATTGGTCTATCCAGTTGTTCCATTGGGTGGGAGGTTCTACCGTGTCGTTTGGCCAAAAGGCGGGTATTCCCCGCAGATTCGAATCAGTTGTTGACTGCGCCATAATAAAAGTATGAAGTTACCACTGGTAATTCTGTTATCTAACTAAGTTTAAAACGGAATAGAATTAATGTGTGAATTAAAACTGACTGTAGTCTAAAAAGAGCAACTTGTGACTCGAAGTCCACTGGATTTCGTAGAGTAGACGTTAGCTGATACTTGATTAATCAATAAAGGTCAAGGTTAAGAAATACTAAAATACTAAATCACAACACTGATCAACTGAAAAAATCTTGTCAATGAATCAGAAAAAAATTGTTGAATTTTTTTTTCAATTTTGGCATGACTTAAAAATGCCAAACGAAAAAAAAACGAAACGCGCGCGTAGCTTAACCTGTAAAATTGGTGGAAGCTATGAATGATACCAATCTATCCAGGGGCGGATTTCGGGGAGGGGCGGACGCCTCCCCCTCAGAGATTCGACCCCCTCACCTACCGAAGGGTCCCCCTTTGGTATTATTTTTTACATCCATTTTAGGCCGACCAACCCAAAAACTTTTATAAAAACGCCCTTGGCGCCAAAGTACACTAATTTTGAAGGGGAGCGCGCGCCGAAAAAACGCAATTTTTTGGTCGAATTTTTCCAAAAACTGCCTGAAAACGGCATTTTTGATGTTTTTTAAAAAAAATTGCCTGCGGAGCAAAATTTTTGATCAAAATAGGGTCCTTAGGTTGATCTGGGTGCGCCAGGAAAATAATTTTTTCGACCTAAAAAGGTCGACAAAATGTTCGAAAGTTTTTTTGTAAATCCGATCTTTGTGCTGATCACTGGGAGAATCTCTGAAAGCACAGCTGAAAAATAAAACTTTTTTTTTTATTTTGGTCAGAAGGGTGAGCTTGAAGTTTGAGTAATCCCTGATTGCCATTTGGGCGCACAATACTTTGAAAAAAGTAGGCCGCTCTTTTGAAATCAGAATAATCAGACAGAACTGACGCTTTGTATAAGCTGAAAAAATCAGTGTGATCGTATTGGTAAAAGCGATCATTCTCGAAATCGTAATCGTAACTACTGTAATCGTAGTCATCAGTATAATCGGAACCACTGACCGTACCATAATCACTATCGGTTTCATTATCATTATCAGTGGAGTCTTTGTAGTCATTAGTACTATCGGTAACACTGTTCAAATTGTAGTCGGCTCGTTTTTGACGTTTGTATGAGTTTTTTCCTAGTTTGTAATTTTCAACTATTTTGGAGGTCTCGCCTTTGAGAATTCGATTCTTTCCATTGAATTCAATTTGATTAATTATGTTTGACTCTTCATCGGCCATTTGAACCATTTTTAGTTCATTTTCGACGTGTCTTTTTGTCTTTTTTGGCACACTTACGTAGCTTAGCATAAAGCCTTTTTTGTTCACAGTTGTGTCAGATGAGAACTTAACAGTCAATTTAGATCCACTTGAACGAAAAGGTTCGAGATCTTTTATTTCTCGGCCACAAACTTTGAGCGATTTCATTACTACTCTGCGAGTTGATTGTGTTGAAGCTCCGTCAA